CGGCCGTACACCCCTGGGCAGCGACACGCGGTGCGCGAGTTGTGCGTATCTCACAGCTTCCGTTCGCAGTGCGCAGGATCCTAACAGCTACAATGATTGCACCGTGAGCGTAAAGTGGAACGAGAAGGAACTTTACGGTTTAGGCGTTGTTTGTCGCCTTCTCCGACTCCTCTTTGTTGGGATCTTGCTTCAACTTGTAATCAGCCAAGGCCGCCCGGATCGCGTCTTCGGCCAACACTGCAAACAGGACAAGGACAAGCATTTCAAGGACAAGGAAAAAGTGGTTTGGAACAAAAGATGCCGTAAAAACCACGGCAGCCGGCAGCGACCGCGACCGGCGGGGGCGCGCACGTCGGCATCTCGGAAGCAGACTCCCAACACTTACTATCAGTCTGCCGAGCCACCGAGTCCCAAAGACAAAAAGGAACTGAAAACTCTTAATATAACCCCGAAATCTGAACATCACCCGGTTTATCTTGTGGGTCGAGCTCAGCTGTTCCCCGTGCAGCCACTTTGTTTGGAAAACAGCAGGTGGAAGCGCCCACGCTATTCCCAGACGCCTCCCTCCCGCACACGAGCTCCCGCCTGAACCTTCCCCCCTTACTGGAGCAGTGCAGCTTGACGGGAGGAAGGCAGAGCTCCTTAGCGATGTCCGTGTTCTTGATCTTCAGCGCTTCGTCAACCTGAAACACAGCCAGCGTGCAGTCACTGGTCACACGAGGCGCAACACGGGCGACAGAGGCATCGCCTGCAAGCGTTTTAATGCTCCAGAGCCAACGGAATCCGAACGGAAGAACAGCTCAAGTGCCAGGGGCAGCGAAGGGCGTCGCAGTTAAGGAATGTCTCAGACTGAGCAGCGGGAGGAATGAACCCAAGCGTAGCAGCGTTATGGACTAAGTGCTGCTGGGGCTGTTCTATGCTGACGTTTTATCGTCACATAGAAACGTGTTTCTTGTCTGGCAGAAAGAAAATTAAACTTGCTTTTAGAACCCGTGATCAGGGCGGTTTTGCTTTCTGCATCCTTCCCTGGAGACTCAGAGAGTCTCAGAAAAGCAACTGTTACTCTAGACGTCAGACTGCTAGCAGGGCCGACGCTCCCTGCTTCCTAAGCTCCCGCACCGCCTGACATCAGCGCTGGGATTCCTGGGCCGCTGTTTCCTACGCGGTCCCAGCAGAGAACCCGGGCACATCGGAAGCTCTGCAGTCTTTCCGCGGCGTCACCTCCGACCCCAGCAAGACCCTTACCGTCTTCCCTTTGACCCACTCCGTCGCCAGCGAGCTTGACGCGATCGCCGACCCGCAGCCAAAGGTTTTGAAGCGAGCATCAACGATCCTCCCGTTATCATCCACTTCCACCTGCAAGCGCATGGAGAGCACCTCAGCAGCCAGCTCGGCTCGCTCAGGGGCCCTAGAGCCACCCCCTCGGGCCCAGGCAGGGCCCTGGTTCCCACCGCGCCCTCAGGAGCGGGACAGGGCGCTGCGGGCGCC